CGCTGCCACCCGGTAGATTGAGCTAACCCTTCCGTTTGCTTTCTCGGAAGGCGACTAAGCCCCGCTAATGCGTGTCCCGGGTTTGCCGGGAATGCTCGGAGGAGGATGGCGCCTGCTGGATTGTTTTCTTAGTGTCTGCTGGACTCCAGATTCGTCTGAGCCCAGGGCAGGTGCAGGGAGATGGGAGCAAAGCTTTGGTCCCGACAAAAGCCAAAGCCTGTGTCCGTCTTTCTGTTGGAGATGCAAAGATTCTCCTTCTCATCCCTGCAAACTTATATAAGGCATACTCTCCCCCCCCCCCCCCCCCCCCCTTGCTCAGACGATCAAGCCCATTAATTTCAGAACCAGAGAATTCGTTACAGAGAGTCCCATAGGAAAAGCATTGATTTTATCATCTTTGCTTTGCAAAGTTTGGGGGGATATTACTGGGGTACAGTTGACTGGGTAGAGGCAAACTTCATAGCTAATACTTGACCTTTGAGGAGATGGAGTCGCGAAGTGGGCTGCCCTGCCATCAACAAACCCACTGTTAATAAGACCACTTAACCCCGGTTCTGCAAACTCACGTTTCCTTTAATTATTCCTATTTATCTGTTCTCTGGGCTGCGTCTGGGGAACAGTTCTTTCTGTCTCCACAGCTGAAGTAGCGAAAACTGAGGCCAGTAGTCCAGGAAAAGACCCAGGTCACACCCTGGGGCTCGTGGGAGGCCTGACCAGGTTGGAAAGTGAGGGCCTAGGCTCCTGCTTTGGGGGAATTGAAATACACCCCAGTGTCAGACAGAGTCCACACTTTCACCAATTCTGCTCGCAAATTTAAAACATCTATCTGGCTTTTGCTTTTTCCCTCCTCCTCCTCTTTTCACTTCCCAGCCAGGAGATTGTTTAGTCTCAATGTTAATGTTAGGACTCATCAGAGCCCCTCATTATAAGCCAAGCGGGAATGGGGTAGAAGTAGTGATATTGCTAAATGGCTCTTTTGACTTCAGCGTCTGAACCCAGCTCCTTCCCAGGCTGGAACTATTGCAAAGAGGAGGGGTGGGGTGGTTTTCTGTCTCTCTGTTCCTTTCTCCTCCCTGGCCCTGGACCAATCTATTGCATGAAGATCTCAGTTCATTTTTGCATGGCCAGGCCATCTCTGCCTGCGTAATGCTTTAATGTTACATCCAGTCCATTGCTCATTTCTAAGAAAATGTTTATAGCAGTGGAACTTCATCTTTTAAAATCACTATCAGTCACTATTTACAGAGCCTCACCGCCAAGATTTTCCGCGGCTCCATTTTATTCTCATTTCCTCAATGTGCCCAGAGATGGCAAGGCTGGAAATTCTCATAACCCATTGGTTTTTCTTTACTCAAAAAAAAAAAAAAAGAAGATCTCTTTAAAAACTGAGACAGACTCTTAAATGGAAAGTATATGGGCAACCAAACAAATACCCACTGGCGTGTATGACAACGACCCATGTCAGGATGTCATTCACCTGTTTACCCACATGATTCTTTCCTAAGTGGAACCGTTTCAAACCTTCCATTCGGCGGCGGGACTTCCTTTGCAGCCTGGGTGTGTGGAGTGGGTTTTCATGTTCCGTCATGAGGATGCTTAATCCCGCCTCTTGTGTTTCTGCCCTGGATTCTCAGGCAGGGGACAACCGGGCCCTAACTGGACTGGGTGCCCTTTACTCATGGAGGCTGGTTTTGAAAAATACACAGGGGCAAGAAAAAGTAGGTTTACAGTTGCGAGTACGGGAAACGCAGAGTTTATTCTTGCGTTATTACTTAATGACTATTGTATTATTTATTTGTATTATGTAAGCCTGCTTTTGCCCACCCCTGTATATCTGCCTCGAGCCTGGCTCTGTGGTCAAACTGGGCCCATAACCTGGTTACTCAGGCGTCTTCCACAACCCTCACCCTGACACCTCAGAGTTTTGCCTGCGGCCTGGCAGCAATGCCGGGTGACAGAAAGATCGGGAAGGGCAACCTGCTTCTCGGGAAGCCCACCCGTGCTCAGGGGCAGGGTGTGCAGCCCGCATCAGTGAGCACCGCGCTGGGGCGCATATGCCAGTTACCCTCCTGGAAACCTTAGGGATCAGAGGAGCACGTGTCGCCTGAATCCAACTGGCCATCTCTTTTGAAACTGACTACTCTCTTCTTTCTCTCTTGGAGCAGAAACTAGCTTATTACTCCAAAATGCAGGAGGCTCAAGAGTGCAACGCCAGCCCAAGTAACAGCAGCGGCAGCGGCAGCTCCTCTTTTTCCAGCCAGACTCCCGCCAGTATAAAGGAGGAAGAAGGCAGCCCGGAGAAAGAGCGCCCACCAGAGGCGGAGTACATCAACTCCCGCTGCGTCCTGTTCACCTACTTCCAGGGGGACATCAGCTCCGTGGTGGACGAACACTTCAGCAGGGCCCTGAGCCAGCCTAGCAGCTACTCGCCAAGCTGTACAAGCAGCAAAGCCCCGAGGAGCTCTGGGCCCTGGCGGGGTGAGTATGGCAGGGCCTGTAGAGAGGCCCCTAAGCCTGGGGTCCACCTAGAGGGGCTCAAGCAGATGCAACTGAGAGAATCCTAGGTGTCAGGGAAGAAGTGAGGAGGGGCACTTGGAAATGGGTAAGGAAAGCGAAGGAGGAATAGGCACAGACAGATCTCTCCTGCAGGAGGCAGAGAAGAGCAGAGCATTGACCTAGAAAAACACTAGCCTTGGGATTGGGAGGCCTGGGCTGGCCTGTTGGTTCCACCCTGCTTCCTAGCACTATGACCTTGGGCAAGTCTCTTAACCTCTTTGAGGTCACTCTATTTACTGGTCTCTAAAATTAGAATAATACTTGCCCTCCTAACTATCCCTGGAGATGGTCCTAAAGCAAACAGAAAATGTATGTAAATGCACTGTGGAAATGTGAGGTTTTCAGGGCCCTTACCCAGTTTCTGAAAATTTGCCCAGAATAAAAAGTCCTAGGCCCCACTGCCAGCAAAAGAATGTCTCCTAAAACCTACCTGTGCCTTTTTCTCAGGTTTCAATTACTTGGGAATTCTTGAAGCAGAAAACATCTTTCAAATAAGCAAATAAAGTAGCAAGGAAATGAGTATTTAGGTACAGCCAAAACATCTCTTTATTGTTCTATCCTTCCCAGAAAGCACTGCTTTATCTAGTTTGGGACCATGATTTCTTGGACAAGTCAACTACATTTCCCTTCTATTCTGAAATCTCAACTTCCCTTATTACCCAGACAAGGGTAGAGTGAACTATTTGGTAAACTTTCTCACTAAGCTTAGTTTTTAATATGTACCACACTGAGAAGTCAGGACTTTGTTGTAAAAAGGAAAACAAATATTACATTTTGGAGGAAATGACAACCCTTACCCACCTTTTTTTTTTTTACCTTGAGTGTGAAAGTTTGTAAAAGCCTTGCCTAGACAAGCTCCAAAAATACTAGTTTTGAATACAGAACATTCCTTTTATTATTCAGGTGCCTAAATATCTTTAAGAGGAAGACTATTCATTACTTGGAATGTATTTTAAAAGTATTTTAAATTCCCTAGAATGTGTACAGATGCGTTCCCCAGAGGTGCTCAATAAAAGCCTCTTGAGTTAAATGTCTTTCTTTCCCTCTCTCCTAACTGAAGGCAACAAATTTGATCTAAATGCTGTTCTCTTAAAATGCTCCCAGACTCTAGGGATCAACAGTGATCATAATAACAATACTAATAAGAAATTATAGGAGTGGCATCCACACTTTAATGCACAAAGTTTGTTAAAACTTAAAAGACCTTTCCCTTCGCGTCCCTTTGTGCAAATAATACAGCTGCCCTTTTAGTGTGTCTAGTTTACTGTTCTGCTCGAGTTCTTGGAAAAAATATCTGAAAGAAGGTTTCTAGAAAGGAGGCTAATAATAGCAAGACTTCGAAATATGTCTATGGACTTCTAGTCTATCAGAGACGCATTTTCAAGAACAAGGGAGGCTGAAACGCGAGAGCGGGCAGTGAGATCGCCAGGCGGCCGACCAAGAGCGGGAAGACGAATCTTCAGCTTGAGCAGCTGCGGGTTGGAGTAGGGAAGCCGCGTCGGCCCCAGGCCGCGGAGGCAGCTCGGGAGGAGTTAGGTGCAACTCCCTGAGCCCGAACCTGGGGCTTGGGGAGGAGGTCCCTCCGCTCTTCCGCTCCCCGCCACCCCCCAGCTCTGCAAAATCGAGGGAGCGGACCTGCACCCCATAGGGTTCCCCCGTTTTTCGGAGCCCGTCCCTGGAATCCACAGGCTGCAGCCCCCTCTGGAAGGCGCCGCCCCAAAGGGTAGGCTGCCGATATGCCCCCAGGCGCCGCTTTCCAGCCATTGGCGGGCCCTGCGCTTTTGGCTCTCCCCGCCGCCCTCGGGGGCCCGCAATCGCGTTTCCCGGAGCTGACGAGCTCTTTCTCCCCTTCCCTCCCCTCCTGCTCGCCGGCCTGCAGACGGCTCCTACCCGATGAGCCAGCGCAGCTTCCCCGCCTCCTTCTGGAACAGCGCGTACCA